TTTATTTCGAGTGGGATTGCGCCCGTTCATCACCCACCCACCAGCCTTACCCACCGCACCACCCACGGCGCGAAAACGTGACCTCCATTGGATTTGGCAGTTTCCCGCCGGATGATAATGATTCGTCTTGCACGCACTTCCCATCACAACTCCGATTGTCGCCCATCATCCGTACTTATTAGCGCAAAATGAGCACAGTGCTCAGTGTCTGGAATAGTGTCTTTCCCCCATCCATCCAGCCGCTGTTGTACGTGTCTTCAAGTGGGAAAGTAGCTTGTTAGCCACTCAGTCGTGCGAGTGGCTACCCATAACTATCCTACAGCCTAGATCCTTTCAACTTAGCTCCTTAAATCCTTAAATCATTAAGCGAGTAACACTTTCTGTTTCCAAAAAAGATGAACCCCCTCCCCCCCCCAGGGCTAGTATGTTTAATTCTTTTCTGGAAACCAATTCTTCTGGAAGCTTGCCACCCACTTGCTGGTCGCGTTTCCGTTGCCGTTCCGTTTTCCTGGAAACCTCAAGAGTGGAAAATTAAAATCCACTCCTATACAGCCCAGCTCCCTCTCCCTCCCTCTAAGCGGACAAAAAAAAAAAACGAAGAAAAACACGATGTCAGGGTTGACATGAGCTCGAAGGTAACACAATACTCCAGGCAGCACAGCCTCAGTCAGCAACTACTTAAAATGCAATTATATGCATTATTATTTGGCTGCTGCGCCGAGTATTTTTGTACACAAATACGCAGAATATATATCCATAGCCATAGCCAGAGGCAGTGGGGGAACTAGACCGGCGAACAAAAAAAAAAAAAAATATTAAATAAAATGGAAGGCGATGGCGATGGAGTGCGAGTGCGAGCGAGTATTTAAATGCCCACCTCAGCTACTAATTATTACCAGGAAAAACTCTTGAAATTGACGTTTCATTTTGTGCGGCGGAGCCCGTCAACACCAAATCGGTGGCCAGAAGGGGGGCCTCCTCCTCATTCTCGGTCTGTTTTCACTCAAAGAAGGCCAGCAAAACCAGAAACTCCAGCATATCCAGCAATCCAGAGAATCAGAAAATAAAAGGGGTACTCTGCCAGGGGTACCATCGTGATTATGCACATCGAACTGCAGCCAGCCAGCCAGCCAGTCGGTCGAAACTCGAAAGTCGAAAGCCGAAGACTTCGGCAACAGATTAAGGCACTCGAGAAATTATAAAAAAATAATATTTTTCTTAGAATTGATACCATTTTAAACGAATTGGTACTCGGGGCAGAGTCAACAAAATGAAGAAGTTTCACGATCATTGCGGGCCTGAGAAAAAAAGCAGGAATCTCTGGCGAGGAATGCACTGAGAAAAATATTTCCAATTTGGATGAAACTTTCAGAAGAAATGTATTTCGAGGTAATGATTACTGGAAGAATAAATGAATTTTTCTGGAAAAGTTATTCAAAGAATTAAAAGCTAAAAACCTATCATAAAAGATTTCATATATCTTTGAAACTCTTGTAGTTCTATTTATTATTTCTTAATGTATCATAGAATGAAGACTGGGGACCTGAAGAACCGCAGAATGCAGACCTGAGAGAACCAAGACCTGAGGTAGGTAACACGATCGCCGGCGATGCAGACGGCATTGCGTCAAGTGGCAGCATCGGCCAGTCGACCTGTCTGCCGCAAGTCTGCCTTGGCTTTTGGTTTTTGCTTCTACATATATGGGTCTTATTGGGTTCCCAGGCCATACACTCCCAATGACGCGGCCACATTTTGTGAGCGCGGCTGGAACTCCATTTCCATACTCACTACCATTTGGATCCGAATCTGAATCTGAATCTGAATCCGAAACTGCAACTCTGGCTCTCTATCGAGACACTTGGACGCGTCGACACTTGAGTAAATTAGTTTCGTAGAACTTGCGAGACTTCAAGGCCCACACTGAGCATAAAGGCCGCGGAAAGGGCACTGCGAGAAAAGAATATATCTCGGATAACTATCAGATACCCATTACTTAGATCCCTTAGATAAGCAAGTATTTATGTAGCTTCCACACCCCTGATTCCATACACTTCTGCCCAACTAGCTGTCTGAGGCTCCTCGAAGGCGTTTGAATAATTTTGCCCCCAAATCCATGGCAGGGTTGCAAATTTATTCACACAGAAACGAGTAATTACCCAGACACAGAACAGGAGCAGGATCTGCATACAGGTACACATACATACATACATACAAGCGCACTGCTACACTCACACACACACACACATTCCAGCAAAGCAACTCACACGCATGCGGAAATTGGCAGCACAAAAGTTCACTTCAAGTCGTCCTTTCTGCGCTCCAAGCGCAAGTTCTGTGGTGAAAGACGGGGGGGGGTGTGGCACTGTGGGCGTTCGAGTGGGCGTGGCAGCTCTGGAGCTGTAGCTGTAGCTGTAGCTGCTGCTACTGGCATGGAAAATTAACAATTTTTCAATTAAAATCAATACCGAGTGTGTACTTGTAGTCGTAGTAGTTTCGTTTTTTTTTTTTCCGCCCCGACCACCCACTAGGAGGGAGGACGCTTCTGTGGCTGTCAGGGTAATCTGCATACGTGTGTGTGTGTGTGTGGTTTCTGGCTGTGTCTGTGTACATTTCATGAAAATAGCTTAAGTGCCTGAAAATATGCAACGCATTCAACGATGACGAAGGCTGTGTCTGTGTAAGCTTCAGACAGTTTCCTTGTGTGTGTGTGTGTGTGCGAGTCCTTTTTTGGAGCGAGTGTATGTGTGTGTGTGAGTGCTTGTTTGTTTATATGTATGTATGTGTGTCTTGTTTTGTTAGTTTTTTGGGCGCCGTCGCTGTCATTCCAAAAAGCTAAATTCTAAGGGTATTTTTTTCACATTTTTCGGTCATACACACATACAACTGCAAGTCCAAGGCAAATAGTGCCGTTATTTTCAATGACACTTGCAGGCAATGCACTGAGAAAAAAAGGATAAAAGATATAGGGCTAAAGAAAAGGGTAATTAGTAACTATTATAGGTATTAGAAGCTTGAGCATGTTTCTTAAATATATAATATTTTATGAAATATTTATTAAAATTATAAGGATAAACTCTAGATATATCCTCTATAAAGTGGCAAGGATTCCTCATAATTTGCTCAAGTGCTTGTGTTTATTTGTATTAGTGGGGATCCTTGGATCCTTGTGCATCGTTTTGCGGTTTAGTCGGTCTATCCCCCCCTGTATTTTGTGGTCCTCTAACTGTTGAGCTCACACTAACACCAACGCACACAAAGAAAGAGAGGGGTGGTGGTTGATAGAGAGAGAGGGATAGACTCCATTTCGGGGGCACCGCAAACAACGTTAAATGCAAATTTACTCCCTTCCCCCTCCCCCCAACTCACTCACTTAAACTAACGGACATATAACTAAGATGGTATATCCTCCTCCAGGACCTAGCCCACCCCCTGGCGCCCCACCCCCCTCTCCGACCCCAACAAGTTGACACACAAAATGGCCGTACTTTGGCGCCATTGCTTCACTACAGCTATCCTTCGGCGGGCTGGCTCCTTGTTTTTGTTGTCCTGCGATGGCTATTGCCGTTATTGCCAAGTCAGAGCGAGACAGAAAGCCCACAAGGGGTGCCCAAGAGGGGAGAGGGCGTGGCAGTGGCAGTGGCCAGAATTGAAGTGTTAGTAGTAATGCTACTAATTGGACTCGCTTTTAGCAACGCTCCATATGCCCCCGAGCACTTTCGAGCCATCTAAGGCCGAAGCTCCTTCTGCCACACACACACACAACACGTAGGTATGTATGTATGTATGTGTGGTCAGTGGGTGAGTGTGTGTGTGGGGCACTCCAAAGTCTATAATTGGAAAATTTTACACACTCGAAATTCAATTTGGACTGCAGAGTCGTCGGAAAGTGCGTTTCTGTGGGGTTAAGCTGACCTCAGTGGGTTAATTGTGATGCAGCGATATGGTTTAATTAGCAAGGACGCAGGATAATATATAAAAATAATGTCCCTTAAGGTCTAAGTCAGTATTGATTCGAAAATGCACAAAATCCACCGATAACATCCTGCCACAGGACCTGGGATGAGTGAGAGTGCCCAGGTACTTGAGCCAGGGCCTACCATTAGCACTCGAGAGCTTATCGACTCGGCTGAGGGGGGGGACTCGCAGAGTGAGTGAATGATTTAATGAGGGAGTGGCGCACTCGATTCGCGGGCGAAAAAGAGGGCGAATTCGGCAAGGAATCGCGCCATAATTACTCGCATTTTTTTGCGCATTTTCTCGACTGGTTTTTTTTTTTTTTGCCTTTTTTTTCTGCTAATCAAACACACGCAAACATGCCGGGGGGTGGGGGTGGGTTTTTTGTCGTCCTGGTCGGGCTTCGTCCTGTTAAGGGTGGCAATTTGCTTGTCCTGGTGGCTCACAAACACACACACACACACTCGCAGGACACACTGCCTCTCTCACTCACACCCGGTGGCAAGGCGGGCCAGGACTTAGAACAATAACGGCCATTAAAATGCTTAATTATAAATTCGCAAACGTAGCTGAAATTTTCTGCGTTTTTTCCCTAGACCCTTGGCGCTAGGACCCCCCTCCCCACACCCCTCGCCACACGCTCCTGCCCAGCAGGACGGCAGGACGTTAAATGATTTCCAGATTCTGCGCCAGGACCCGTCATTGGAAATTCAATTTAAAGCACTTGGCATTCAGATCGGACTCGGATCCACCCAATTTTTGTTGCAGTGATATGGAGGAGCAGAAGCATGCATGCCAGGACCAGGACCAGACCCATCCCATCCCCGAAAGGTGTGAAAAATCAGAGCAGAGACATCCAAACAAGGTCCATGCCCCGAGACAATGGGCCTGAGGAAATGCAAATTCCTGGCCAGGGTTTTTGTTTTGCCAACAGCAGACACCTCCGCGGCGGATGTGTAATTAGTTCGTTAATTCATTAGAGAGACAATGGCGGGTATTCGAGTATCGGGTTTCGGGTTTCCACTCAGTGCCTCTGACTCACTCACCTGTATACGGTCCTCCGGCAGCTCCGTCTTCAGGGACAACATCTCGCGGGCATACACATCGGGGTAGTGGGCCTCCTTGAAGGCCTCTTCCAGTTTCTCGAGCTGGTAGCTGGTGAAGATCGTCCTGCTGTGCCGTCGCTTCTTTTTCTTCTTCTTGCTGTTCGGTCCGACACCGAAGCCGTTCAGAGCCTCGATGCCAAAGTCCTTGGGTGCCAGAGATCCTAAATTTTATAAAAAAAAAAAAAAAATAACACGAAAGAACTTTATTAGGAAATGAACTTTGGTGGAATAATAATTCGGATATCTTTGGAAATATTTATTCGATCCTTAAAAGGCATATAGTTCTGGAATCGTAAAACGATTCTCTATAAAACTGCATTTAAATCTGGGAGGCCAATTTTTTAAAGTTTTTTTTGAATTTTTCTGATGGACCCCCTGAAAAATGGGGAAATCCAGAAAATCGAAAATTTGGCCTATGTCGGAAGCTCTATCTTGGGAAGTATTTATCGGATCCATAAAAGGGATACCTTTATGAAATCGTTGAGTGGAATTCTCTCTGAATCTGCATTAAAATCTTAAAATCTGCATTAATTCTCTCATCCCGATTTTGTTGGTAAGCTGAGTGCCGCTCCTTCCGAGTAGATGCCACTTGGCGCGCCGTCGATATTCTTGTCAAATTAGTTGACGAGACTCCCACGACCTGCTGCCGGAACCCCCTTCCCCAGACCTTCCCCCGGGGAAAACCACATGGCGCTGAAGCGCGACTTGAAGTGGTTTTAGCGGTTTGTTATTTTAAACATTTAATAATTGTATCTAGTTTCCAATTTGCTTCGAACAGCCCGGCGCACTCTTCCCTTTTTTTTTTTTTTTCACAGTCTTGGGGTCTTGTCACACATCATCTTTTGTTCCAAGGAAACCCGCACTTGACAGGCGGGGAAAAGTGAAAGCGTCGAAGGAACACTGCCACGAACGGGGATATGGGAACGGATCGGTGAGCCGAGATCCGAGAGGAAATCGGTGGAAGGAGCTGGCTGACAGGCGGCGGTAGCCGCGTTGACAGGCGCGATTTTTGAGTCCCTTCGCGAGTTGAGTATCTGAGTATCTCTCCTGTGGTATTTACACGAGAAACTGTTAAGAGACTGCAGATTCGAGGAGGATTTGGCCGAAGATGAGTCGTAGGATCGGTGGATCGGTGGAGAAGAAGCCACTCATGGGGCCAAATCGCCACTTAGCGTATTGTGGGATCGGGAATTGATGATTGAGGCTTTGGCTTTTTGGCTTTTGTGGCTTGAAGCGCTGAAGCACCCGGAAAACAGAAAACAGCTAACAGTTTGATGATCGAGTGGTCTGGGCCACTCAATGCCAGTACTGGGAAAGTATGAAAGAAAAAAAAAAATAAATCAGCAAATGGTGAAAAACTGAAAAACACACATCCCAGGCAGGAGGCAGGCAGGAGAGCTGGCGGGCTGCCGGACTGGCAGCTTCGATTCGCGCTGAAATTCGATATGAAAAACGAAGCAGACGGGGAACCGTTCAAGTGAATTTCAAATTCCCATTCCCATACCCCATACCCATTCCCAGACTCGCTATTTTCGCTGGCATTTCCACTAAATATGCGCGCGCCGGCCTGCAAGTGGAAATGCGTGTGTAATGAGGGCCCCCCCTCCCCAGCACTGGAAACTGCATCTTGAATTACCTGGCCAGGCCATCAAAATAAAATCGCCAACCGAACAAAAGAAGCAGTTCGCAAGAATCGACCATTAAGGTGGATTCTATATTCGGATTTTAAATTCATTTTTCGGGCATATTTATTGGATATACATTTCACTTGGCGATCGGTTCTTAATTAATTCCGCCACTTGATTTTCAATGGTTGCAGTTTCTGTGGCTATTATTCTTCCAATAATTATACAATTTGATTCGAAAAAGGACTAATATAGTGAGGGAATCAGTTAATTTCGCAACTCACAAAAGTAGGCAACATAAAATTTCTTGTTCATACTTTTAATGAGCTCCCACACACACTCCCATACTCTGGGGAAGGACATGGTTTATTGAAAGTTTTGCCATTAGGATCGCTGGATGCCAACACACCCACTCTGGCTGGCACTGACTGGCACATGCATTACAACATATTAGCAATTAAAATTTTCTTAGTTAATTACTTTAAGCAGACGCCGGAGGACGAAGGACGAAGGACACAGGATGCTGGCATGCCGGGGGCGAAAAAAATGTGAGGCAGCCAAATGAAAGGCGACAGGCGCTCTCTTTCTATCGGGCTGCTGGTGTCTCGCTCACTCGTCTTCCGGACAAAAGGAAGGCGTCTGTGCCGGGTCCTGGCGAGTGAGTTTTATGAAATTTATGCGCATTTCACTAGAAAATTTAATTAGGAAATCTAATTTGCTCAAAAGCGCATAAAAAATGTTGTCGCTTCTGCCCCGGGGCACCCACACCTACCCCTCGCTGCTCCCTCGTGCTCCTTGCCAGGTCCTTGTCTACCCCATTTTCCCGCCTTTTCAGTAAAACCATCTTGACTTGTTCGTTTTGTGAGCTTTGCGCCATTTTGGTTGGCTCCACACATAGCTTTTCCGCCACAGCGCTTTTCCCGCGCAGCTCCTCCTGCTTGCCACTCCCCACCGCCCCCCTCTCTGCCCGCCTGCCATGCATCAAGTAACCAACAAAATGACTAATTCCTCGTCCAAGTGTTAGTGGTGTGTTGATGCATGTGTGTGTGTGTGTGTGCTGCATAAACAGTTGCATGGCAAAATACGCTAATAAAGTGGCTGTCGCCCGGCTTCGCAGCTTCTCTGCTAGCGCCTCCGCCACCGCCACCGCCTCCGTCTCAGCCTCAGTCTGCGTCAACGTCAACGTCAACGCCAACGCCATTCGAGGGGCATTTCGCAATTTCGCAATTTGCATTAGCACCAAAGTGGCTGCGTGGCTGTTGCCACTGTGTGTGTGTGGCACGACTGTGTATGAGTTTGTGTGTGTGTGGCATGGATTTTTCGTCACATGTGTGTGCTCTTTCCGTACTAATTAGAAATGAAATTGAATTATTTGCTTGAGGAATCAAACGGAAGCCACAAACGCAAAAAATCATGCGAGTGGTCCAGTAAATGCTCCAATTAACTGCTTTCCAAAGCACCTGCTTTCCTAGCTCCTCACTCGCTAAATCCTTACAAATAGTCCTTGATCCTTAAAGAGCTATAATCCGTTAAGAAATTTTTGAATTTTTAGCCAAAGGACCCATCTCCCGTCTAGCATTTGTTCTCGTCTAATTGCTCCTGTCTGTCGGTCTGACGGTCTGTCCATCTCTCTCTCTCGCCCCAACTGTCTGTCTCTTTCGGCCATCGTTTTTTGGGGACCCGGATGGACTAACCCTTTGGACGCAGCCCGCTCCTTCTCTGATCCTGTTCCTCGTAATTTGCGCACTCAATGGAAAATTGTTAATTAGATTCCTTGCTTGTCGTGTGACTTGGTCGTCGTCTTCTTCCTCCACCTCCCAGGATGCCAGGCTCCCAGACTCCCAGGCTACCCTCTTTCCCCCTCCTTCCGCATCCGGCCATTGTTACAAGCTCCACCAGGTGGAGTGCCCCTTTGGGGCGGCAGCATTTTAGCCAGCTTTGTGACAAAGTTGGTTAACGTGATTGCTGTTGCCACTAACGCTGCTTTTACGTCAGTGATGGGCGAGCAGAGATATATCCAGATATAATCCTTCATATTCAGATATATCTTTTAAGATTATAATTTTAATTAGGAGGCTTTAAGAAGCTCTTTCAAAATACAAGGAAATCTAAGTCAAGTTATAGTTATAGCTTTAGAGTCTTCTGACCTTTTCTGTAGTTTGATAACCCTTTAGATTTGGCTTGAAAATGGCCAATATTGGCAACACTTTCCCAGCCTCCACCCCCTCCTGGCAAGTTCGCTTTTGGGCCCACTTGGAGCCACCTTTCCGCTTCACCGACCGACCCAAGCGAACTCAACGAACTTTAAGTGCAAAGCGTTTTTAGCCAAAAGCACTGCCAGCAACAACAACAATACTACCTACAACAAAAATAGTAACAACAACAACTAAAACAACAACAACTATAGTAACTAAAACAACCATAGTGGCACAATTTCTGCACTAAACTTTCTGCTCTTTCACTTTTTTTGTGAGCCCATGGGCTGGAAAGTGCGGGCTTTTTGGGTGAAATCTCTTAGGAAAAGCCATCAAGGACATAACAAGGATATATAGAATCGTTAGTCCTGAAAGATATAGGACTATATCTCTCTAGAGTAATTTCTAATGAATACTTCTCCCCAGCATCTACTTAATTGCCTCTTTACGGCCTTTGTTGCATGTTGCATGTTGCTTGAAGGCTGCTGTTTCTGTTGCTGCCGTGTAGTGGTCTCTTCTGAAGAGACTCTAATCTATGGGAGCCGGGTCGGGCTAGGGAACACGAACTCGGCCACTTGCCACTTGGCCGCGCATTCTTTCCATTCTGTTTTTATGGGCGAAGTGCCCTGCTTGAAAGGGAAAGAGTCTTCCACAGCCACTCGACGGCAGCATTCTTCCAGAGAACCAGAGAACCGGAGAACTGGAGAACTAGGGAAGCTTAACATTAGATGAAGAGCTTCGCTAGAAGGATGGACGAAGGGAAGGAGGCATAGGGGTAGCCACTTTTGAGCCATTTGCTGCGAGCGGATTGCAAGACAAGATTCAACAAAAGCCAAGACGTTGAGATGTCGGAGGAGTCCCGAGACTGACAAGTAAGGCAATTTGCCTTGAATGGCCGGAAGAGTGGGCTGTGGGTGGGTGGATTGGGTGGATGGGTGAGCGTTGGATTGTGCATCGTGCTGCACTTGTCATGGCCAAGATTTTAATTGGCATTTGCCAAGCCAAGTCAGCCATCTAGCCTGCCAGCCTGCCTGCCAGCCAGCCCTACCCCTTTTGCCTTTCAGAGCGTGTCTAAGTTTTATTTGCCGGCCATGCCGAATGCCGAATGCCACCCCTTTTGGCGCAAAACACTTGCTGGCTTAATTGAAAAACATGCCAGACAATAAAAAACAAGCTGAAAACAAAAAAAAAAGCCCATACCCAGTCCAACACACAAAACACACAACCAACACACATGTGGGAAGCGAAACCAATCGCAGTCCACATCCAGGGGCTGTAAGGGGTTAAGCAACAACCTGTCTGGGGAATCAACCAGCCACTGGATTAGGGATTATAGCTCTTAATCGAGGCATTTATTCTACAATACAAAATATAGTCATTGAAAGGGAAAAGTCTAATGACTTGGAAGGGAAAGCAATTGTTAGAGGTGGAGTGTCTTTATTCTTATATCTATTCCAGCAAACTAATCTATAGACCTTCTCTACAGAGAAGAGGTTTTCTTGAAGTAGAACCCTTTCTTGAATTAAACTCCTAGTTATGCTGATATATCATACCGATTTTTTAAGAGCTTCGTCCTCACACTCAGACACTTGATTGATTCAGGTGCTCCTCCACAACTCCACACCTCTACAAACATTTCAATTTATTGGCGCACTCACTCCGGTATACCATACTACCACCCGGCTTAACCCTTCCAGAGCCATATCCTCGAACCAGTTTCCAGAGCGCTTCTTATTAGAAAACTTTATGTGTGAGCCTCGCATTTCGCACGCCTTTGTTTTTGGCTTCCACGTATGTATGTGTGTGTGTTTGTGTGTCGAAAGGATTAAAGAGCAGGCCAGAGAGAGTGTCCTTATATGTGTGTGTGTGTGCCAGGACATGTGAGGAGAGATGTATGCGCGTGCAAATTGCGTATAAAAGCGTATGTTGAAAATATTTATTGCCCGTTACGAATGCAACAAAATGAAAATGAAAATTTCATTATTTGGCTTTTCTCTCTCTTAGTGTGTGTGTGTGTGTTTGTGTGTGTTATCCTTTTTTTGAGACTCTGCGTGTGCGTGTGTGGGTTTTTTCGTTAGCTAAATTGTTTATTTTATTAGCAATTTGGAGAATTTATGGGCGCGACATGTGAAATTTACGCAGTTGAACCCTTTCGCGCCACACCCAGGACCTACAGGACCTGCAGAACCAGCAGGACCTGCGAAATGAAGCCCTGGAATGTCCATTAATTAGGTTAGAGTGAGACGGCAATCAGCACAATGCCGCCCTCTGTCGGGCATGTCGAGCTTTTAAACTTTATTTTTTTTTTCGCAAAAAAGGATTGCACTCACAAGGACCTGGATCCTTGGTCTACCTTTAGGCGGAGCTCAGTTTGATGCTCGGGAAAGGAGGGGAAATACAATTACTCACCCGGCAGACAAGTTCCGGATCCTGCGGCAAAGTTTTTCAGCTGCGGAAATCCTGCAAATTAAAAATGGTTTATTCAATTAATTAAACCTCTTTTTATTATTATTGTTTCAGATTGTGTTTAAGGACTGAATCAACTATTGAATTATTTATTAATTGGCCAATAATAATCGTAGTGATAGTAATAATAATTCAGTAAGCTAATCGTTTGCTGGGCTCTGAGAATGCTTATTAGCAAGGTCCTCCAAAGTAACCTTCCCCCTGCCATAGGCAGGCCCATGTCTGTACACAATAAGAAACGATTTGATATTACAATGTATCTGGAAGATATAATACATGTATCTGGAAAGACAGATTCTTGCACTGAAAGTCGGGTTATGACTGCACAAGCTCTATGGGATATGGAAACCCGTTTTCGCAGTGCATCCGAGACTGTGTATGTGCCAGCCCAGCCACTCAGAAATGCAAATCGGCGACCTCGATGTCGAAGTCGAGACAAGCTCTCCTTGCAGTCTGTGCCCCTGCCCCGCCCCCAGGGGCCCAACCCCGCCCCGCCGCCCCTTCTCTGGCCACAAAAGGGAGTGAAATATCAAAGCAAAATCAAATTTGACAGACAACCGCGCTAATTTCTGGTCGATGTTTCATTGTTTCAAGGCGCTCGTCGTAGTCGTCACCGACTCGTTTTGCTTTTTGGTTTTTGCGTTTTTGTGTTTTTGGTTTTGGCATTGGCTTTGTTTTTGAGGTCGGGCATCGGAGAGGGTTAAGGGGTCAGACGGAAAGGGAAGCAGCGACTGGGAGCGACTGGGACTGGGACTTGGACCAGGACTGGCATTTCCCTCAATTGTTTTACGCTGACGCATATCGAGAAGTACAATAAGACCCCCGACATATGCCAACAATGATGATGATTTCGAGGCTAATGCAGAGACAGAAAAATAATCTTTATAATATTATAAAATTTTATAATATATTATATATAAAAAACAATTTAAAAAAAAAGACAATTAAGATTTAAATCTAATCTGTTTAGCTCTTTAAAATATTTTTAGCATCCCTTTTCTTTCAGTGATACTTTCATGTCGACAATCAAACCGCTTTTATTAGCTTGTGTGTGTTTACCGGGAATTCCAATTGCCACAGAAACTTGATATCCAATCCATATAGTGCGCAAATTTCACTAAAGAACTGCCAGCAAAAAAAAAAAATAAAAAGAATTCAACAAAAAAATAGGGGAAACTGCAAGTGACGAAGTATTTATAAACTGATTAACGCTCGACAATGGCTGATATGGGTCCGGGGCTATACGTTGCGGGACTTTCGTCGAACTGGGATCGCTGGAATGTCGTTGCGGGGAAAACTGGCCCACCCAGTGAGCCCCCAGACCGCTCCAAGTAGTCGCCGCTCCAAAGTCGTGCAAAGTAGCCAAACAGTACTCGAGGTTCGTGAGTGAAAATCAAGTGAATTAATTAAAAAAAAAACATACAAGCTTTTTCCTAAGAGACCAGAGCACTGATTACTAACTAATTCCTAAGGTTAATGATCTCGGTTGACCCGCTAACTCAAATATGGTGATCAGAGTGATCAGATCATCGCACTAACAACCCAACAAATAAGCCCAACTAGTGGCCAGGCCAGGTAAATCGCATCGTGCCACTACTCTGCCCACAATTGAAACAATTTTCAGCCAAAAAAAAAAGCCAAAAAAGTGCTGAGTAGCCACTCCAAATAGCCAGATAGATGGCATAGCCGTGCTGTGCATAATTAGCAGAGTTGTTGATTGTTAGTGTTGCTGCCGTCGGACAGAGAAAGCCACTGGTCGGTCGGTACAATTGCTACAAAAATATCTAAAGACATGTCTGTAAAAAAATTCCAAATTCCAAATCCGAAAGATCCGAAATCCCACTTTCGAAGCCGCTGAAGAAGCAAAGCAGCCGCCGAGGAAACTCAAGTGCCAAATCGTGTTTATTTGCGTTATAAAATTAGCGCAGCGCACTGTATCTCATTTTAATGTGCCGGGGGCGCTGTTTCTCCGGCAGGGGGGTCTCGCCCAGTAGTGCCCCCTCCCCCCACCCCGCCCATGTACCAGTGAGTTGGCATGAGGCTTTCAGGCCATGAATTGCCCGGCTCTGATTGCCATGTGACTGGCACAAATCGAGCTTTATGGTTAATATCTACTAACTAGAGTTATTAGTTTGAAAGTAAAAGTTGATTTTAAATTCTATTTCCTTTAAATTCAAGCATCTGAGCGGCTAATCCTGCTATACAAGGCCGTGCCAACTTGAACTCACACCCTGCCCTGGACACCCCTACACTCCCGGACAAATTAACCCCTTGAGTGGCACTCGGCACTTCGCCCGTCAAGTTGCTTTAATTGACTTTTAAATTCGCAAAAAAAAAAAAAAAAAATCAAAGCGAAAAAGTGTGACAAAGTGCCGAAAACGCTGAAAGAGTGGGAGGATGGGTGGCTACCTTCGAGAGAGAGTGGTGGGGGCCAAAGTGCAGGCGCGCAACAACAACAACAACACCGAAGTGAAACAATAACTGCACTCGAGCCAAGCTGACGGTCGGAAATTTTCACACCTCTGACAATGGGGTGAGGGGTTGAGTGAGCTGCCAGTGGGCTGCCAATGGGTGGGGGGGGTAGGCCCACTCGACGGAGGTCGTTCGCCGACACTTTCCCGCCCATCCGCTCCTTCCGCCTTTTCTTTTTTTTTTTTTTTAATTTACGTCAACGCGAAATCAAAGCAAAGTCAAGCGACAGACCGCACACATTGTCCGGCCGAACTACAATTAAGAATATTTTTATCAGCCTCGAACGCACTTTTTGTTGCCTTCGGGGCAGGCTATTAGCAGACCGTCTCGAATATCAAAGGCCGGTGATACAGGCCACAGTGGCAGCCGTGTGAGGCAACCAAGTGGGGAGAGGCTGTTGACAAGCAGCAATTAGCAGCAAAATGCAACACACACTGCCCCAGGGTATTGGAAACTATGCCTACTGATAGGGATACTAGGGGGATACCATAGTTGATAGATGGGGCCTAGGGTAGCCTAACTAGAAATGGTTCTAAGACATAATATCTAAGACATAGTCACTCCTTTATAGAGCTTAATGATTAGATTCTATAGATATAAGATAGATGTTAGGTAGGTTTGATAGAAAGACATACAGGTTTAAAGGTTTGGTATGAGTAACGGGTATTATACATCTCTTCAGAAGAAGTAAGTAGGAGAACTATATCCTTAGCATTTAAAAACGTCCTTATTAGAGATACTAACATGGAGATAGGACTAAATAGAATCTAAAATATAGCTAGAAAGCTTAAACCTTTATAGATATAAAGATATATTGTAATATTATAAGAAAGTTAGGAGATTTTATGAGTACCGGTAGATACTATAAGTAGTTATGAGTACCGGATATCATGTACCTTTACAAACTAAGGAGTGTGACTACATCTTGAGTATCTAAACCTATTTTAGGATTAAGAGCTTACAAAGATATTGATAAAGAAGTTACTACTATAGATGTATAGAGGACGTTATACCCCATAGAAGTAATACTAGATAGAATTTGTATAATAAGTAGTAACCAGGATTAAGAGTTTCATCTTCAATAGATATTATAAAATATTGTCTTATTAGTCAAGTGAGTAGTACATATAGGATGTATAAGTACCGGATATCACATATCTTTTAAAATAAGTAATTTTTGTTCCACAAACTCCATCTTTAAGACCCCCACATGTATACAGATTATTTTCCCACCTCTCTATAGAATTTTCTTAGCAATTTCCGCGGCGCCTTGACATCCGAATAATTCTAAATGGTTAATTTCTGAGGCGCAAGTAATTTGCCACAACAGCCAGAGCCTTTGTTCTCTTCGGCTATCGATTTGCAATAACAAATCCAATCCGCAGACACTTAAATAGCACTGGGTAGTGGGTAGTGGGTGGGGTGGTGGACTGGTGGGCCATGGGCGGAGTGTGCAAACACATCAAAACGCCTGTCACAACAAAGCGACGCGGCTAAAGTGAAAATTGTCAATTAAATGTTCCTGCTGGCAGCGAAGAAGAATCTGGCAGCGTTTTTCATTTTTTTTTGTCGCTCGTGGAATCTGGGTTTTCAAACGGGGGGGAGGGGTTTTCTATTATTTGGCCTGTTGTTTGGCTAACCAATTTTCCGATTTGGTTTTCTTTGGTAAAAGATCAAAGGCACTTAATGGGAGGCGCCAATGGGGAAGGAGTCCCCCGAAAGGGAGGGCAGTCGGATGGTTCCACTGGACTGAGCCGGGAATCCGGTCGAACGAGAACTTATGCGGTTTTTTGATTGAGGAACGTAAATGGGTAAAAAAAAAAAATCAACAACAGAAATCCCGAAATCGTCGTGGTTCTCACATGTATGGAGAACGGGTCGACAATATGCAAAATTAAATAGGATGACGCGGGGGAAAAGCAAAAAAAAAAGCAAGCAATAATAATAACAAAACTAAATACCCAGAGTGTCATGAACTGGATACAGTACACCCTACCCCATAGAGTCTATATAGTATTTCAAAGTATTGGGTCTAAACACCATTCTCACATTTATTAAACGGAAAAAATATTATAATTAAAGCCAAGTTGGATCCAAGTTGGAGAGCGGAAGGAAAGGGCCCGGAAACCAAAAACCAAAACCAAAGCTAAAGTGCGGCCCGAAATTGGCACAGTGAGTCAGTACGGTGTGGATCGGGGATCGGAGATGACGATGACATTTCAACGCTAATTAAAATAATAATAACAATAATAACAGCTGCCACTCGAAGCGGCAAGATAATCCGCAAGTTCACTTCCCGAAAAAGTCTTCAACAGATAGGGTTTCTAAATATTACGAGGTGTGTGGATGGATGTCTCCACAACGTACAAGGTTTATAAGTATTCTATCTTAGAAATAAAACCCCCAAAACTATGGAAGATAGCTAGTTTTTCTTCAAGTGTATCGGCTTTTATTATTTTTTTGCCTTTTTCCAAAGCCCTGCTGTCATCGCTCGACTTGGGATGATATTGCCACTTGCTGGATGTTGAATACTGATGTGGATTTGGATTTGGTTGGGGATGTATCTGTGGGATACTTGCAAATGAGCTCGCATACTTGAAGATGTTTTTCTCCAAGTGTGTGCGTGTGTGTCATTGCCTTCTGCCGATCAGCGAGGCAGGCCACAGTGGCTGTGCCTCGTAAATAAATAAAAAAATGGTTTAAGGTTTGAATATTTAAATAAAAAATACACAATATTCTAGAAAATATAAACAACTTTATTGTTTTACATTGTAGAGTCCCTTAAGTTAATTAATAATCTAGCTAGTATCAAGGCAATGCAACCACTGTGGCGTCTCCACTCACCCACCTGGCACACTCGCATCGCCAATTGGAAACTGCAGCTCTACTCGAAGCAGTTGGTATTGCAATTAGCAGCTCAGCTTAAGTGGACTAGCTGGATGGTGGGGGTGGGGGTAGTGCTGCCACTCTGGATGGGGCAAGCAGGCCTCGTTGATTAATTTCTTTTTTATGCCAACTAAGCGGCCCTCCAGCCCCACTGTGCCTCTACATCGGTTCAGAGTGTGAGAGTGCTTATCCCACCTCTGTGTGGGTGTGCGGGAGTGTGTGTTTGGTGTGCTAGTGGTGTGTGTGCGCCAGGTTGTGTGGCAGGTGACAAAACCAGTTGCGATTGCTAATTGCGTTTAAACTTTGATTGTCATTGTAATTGTGGCAGGCCCCAGTGCACAGCGAAAAATATCTACAAACTAATAGGGTTTTTTGGAAATAAATTATAAAATATAAATAATCTTAATCTTAAATAATAAAATAATAAACAAAATTATAAGAATAATATTTAAGAAATCCAGATCCCTCCCTCAGCTTACCCTGGGCGTGCAGCAGCGGGTGGTGCGGGTGGTTCGGGTGGTGGTGCTGCAAAGGCGGCGGCGGTGGCCCCACAGCGGCTGCCATGGCTCCCGGGTGCGAATGGTGGGCGGGGTGGTGCGGATGCGAGTGCGGATGCGGATGCGAGTGCTGATGCTGGTGCGGATGGTGGTGCTGCTGGTGGTGGTGCACGGCAGCGGCGGCCGCCAGCTGGTGGGGCATAAAGGCGGCCGCCACCGCTGCGTGGGCGTTGAAGTAAGCCATCCGCGAGGCCGCGGCCATCGTCATCTGGTGGTGCTCCCGGTAGTGGTGCTGCTGCTGGTGGTGCGTCTGTGCCTGTTGCGACTCCATCGTCGCATCCACTGACCCGCCACTGTATGTCGTTGCTGCTACTGCACTAGTTGCTGCTGCCTCCGATGCAGATGTTGTTGTTGCAAGTGAGCTTGCAACTTCTCCGTTTACTGTTGTGGTTTTTGTCGCTGGCGGAGTTGGAGTTTGGCGCTCTTTTGCTGCCACTGTGGCTGCAACAGTTGCTGCTAGAGCCGGTGTTGCTGTTGTCGTTGTTGTTGTTGTTGACAGATCGGTTGCAGTTTCGGGTGTTGCTGCTGCCGCTGCTGCACCGGTGGAGGCCGTTGTGGCAGCTGCCACCGCCAGTCCCAGAAGCTCCTGAATGGCAAACGGCGATCTTTGCGGCATTTTTCTGCGGCAAGTCTTCTGAGGACTTAACTGTTGCAATACTTGTTGCTAGTTGCAGATTGCAAGTTGCAAGTTGAATGTGTCGTCGCCGCTAATTGGACATTTTTCTCGTAAAAGGCCCCTTGGAAAAGCCACCCATCATCACTAGCCAAAAACAAAAAATAAAGTGCCTAAAAGACCAAAAACCTTGACAGGTTGCAAGTGATGTTGCTGCTGCAAAGTTGCACTGTCGCGGGCAAGCAAGTCTTTTGTTTTTATTTTTGTCGCCCTCTGAATGACACGCGCAAAAACACAACAAATTCGCAATAATTTCCACGTTAAACTGTTGCCAGAAATAATGTGCACCAGGAGTTTTGTCGTCGCAGCAACGATTGCTGCTGTTGCTGTTGCGTGTTGCTCTTGCTGTTGTTGCTCTTGCTGCTGTTGTTGGTGTTGTTGCTGCTGCTATTGCTTCAGTTGCCGGTGGTTGGATTTTGGCCAGGAAGAAGCAGTCAGCTAACAAACGGTAAACGGCAAACGGAGGACCTCAAATCATCGCAATAGGCAGCATTTCGCAATCGCACTCGCAATCGCACTCGCAATCGCAGTCGCAGTAGCAGCAGCAGCACTGCTGCCAGCGACAGCTACGTCGGCAGCGCAGCCAGCGTCGACAGCGCTGCCCGGCAACGGTAAATCGCTGCGGGGCGGTCTCTGTCGCACCGCCTGCACCGTTCACTCGCTCGTAACGAAGCGGGAGGGCGCTACTTCTCGCCCGCCGAGCGACAACATGGCGCATGAGCGATGCGAGCGAGAGAAGAGCGGCGGCAACCCAACGGCGCACAGCTAGTCGTGCTGCTCTAACACACGCCACGGCTTCCAGTCTTCCATTCGACTTCCAGTTTCCCTCGACACATCAATGTATTGGTGGCTGAAGTTACAATAGTGTTGGTGTGGCAGTGGCAGTGTGTGCGGAACCCATTTTGCGGCCCATCCTGGTGTGAGTGAGTGTGCGCGCGGGGAGGTGGCGGGTACGGGCGGTGGTCTCGATCCTGCAACTCCTCGCGGACGACTCTCTCGTTCAATGAAGGACGCCAATTTATAGCCGAAAAAAAAAAAAAAACAAAAGAGAACCGAGCGGCACAGCTCGGCGTGGTTTGTTGCTAGTGTTGCTGCTGCAGATGTTGCTGCCACTGCCACTGTGACACTTGTCGGCTCGGCTAACAATGAGCCCCCCTCCTCCCAAAAAAAAGCAGTCTAATTAAAATTTTACCCAAAACTTTTACTATTAAAATGCGTAAATTAGCAGCCACACACACACTCACACATCCTAGCCAGCACAGTGTCCTGCGAGTCCTTGCTGCGCAGCTGGCAGATTTTCGACAGTGAGGGCTTTGTGCAGTAAGTGGGTTATTGTTCTGCGGGATCGGGCCTCCCATCGGGTAATTGTGTTGGAAGTTTGCCAGGAATATGTTTGGTGGCTAGAAGACTTGGATTATGCCAGAAGAGAATCTCCAGAAGAAAGCCAAGATCGTTGGCTTTTCCCACGCCCTCGTAGCGGAATCCCCCCACCGATAGGGAGGCCCACGCGGCAATTAAGCCATCGAGAGATGCCAACACACACAATTATGGAAAGCCAACGAATCGCTACGGTTCGGATCGGATCGGAGTGGATCCACGCAGTCTGCCCGAAACAGACACACAACTAGACAGAGAGGGGTACAATAACCAGACAGAGACGGAGGGAATAGTGCGTAGTAGTGGAATTTCGGATCGGTAATCCGATATTTTGTGGGCACAGGTTCACAGAGCACAGGGGCTCGTTCACTAGACGGATGATTCATGCGGGGATTCGAGGTCGTTTTTAATGCGAATCGTGAATCGAGATCCGAGAAGGAACTACATATATGTATATGTATTTTACAGGAATCTGATTGTTAATTAACTTGCAATTACAATCGCCGGGATCCTGTCAAAATAAATATTGAATTTCGCCGATGATTGCTACGCAGAAATGTGTCCTGAAATCGGATACCACCGCGAGCTCCGATTGTGGCATAGTTTCGAGTGGAGCTACGATGGAATTCCACCTGGCCTTCATTGGCTACTGTTTAGGGGCATACTTCGTTTTGGTTGTGGCAGGCTTCCTTTTGCTTTTTTTTCAGGGTTCGAAGGCATGTCCTTCAAGTTCCAAGAAGCTTGGACCTTTGTGCATTGTTTTGCAAATATTTTGACGTGCGATTCTCACACACAACCCGGCTTACTGTCCTACCTGGATGTCCTACCTATATATTTGAAGGATATAAATATATATATTTTTTAAATGGAGGAATACCGGGTGTCCTGTCGGGAGCCGCTTTCGAATAATTCAATTATGACTCAAGTGCGAAAGCCGAGCATAGAGGCCCCAAAAAAAAAAATCGATTCGACTGTCAATTAAGTGTCGGGCCTTGTTCACTCAACCACTATTGTCTCGAGACTCGAATCACAATTCGGACAAACTTAATTATGAACAATTAAAGTTCAGTTACTTGGCGGGCAGTGTGTGGGCAGTCGCATCGCAGTTTTTCGATTATTTTTGGGCAATAGCTTCAGCTGCCAGATTGGAGAGTGATGGCCGAGACAGTCCAACCGAAATAGCATCCCATAAAGGGTACAAAGCCAGGTCATAAATAATAAACAAAAATAATAAAAACAGCCACCGAGGCAACAGAGGCTTAGAGTCAGAGTGTTGTACATATTGTTGTGTAATTAAGTTGTTTCGCTGTCGACCGCAAGTGAACAAATCTTGTTGTCTTTGCCTTTGAAGGGGCCCTCTTGGGGGCGGAGGAGTGTGGCCCCCAACAATATTATTGTCGCACAATTGTGTTGCCGTGTGATTAGTTGAAACTTTAATTGCGCCACAATAGCATAATAGCTGCGATAATGGCCCAAAAGCCGATTCGACAGACGCAAAAAAAGCCAGGGGAGTAGGGGATTTATGACTTTATATCAAAGAGGAATATTAAATACCCTAACATAAGGTTGGTTAGACTTATAAATGATTACTTATAGATATAGCTTAACCTGTACTTGTTCCAATTCAAAGACCTTTTAGACTTCAAAACCCATCTACCCTTTAGTTAGTGTAACTTTATTTAGTAAATCGCATTTACCGTACAACTGGGAGCATTTTGTATTAGCCGTGACTTTTAATCATGATTATCACATTACTATTATTTATTATTTATTATTGTTTTTGTTATTGCCGTTGCTGTGTCCATTGTTGCCGATTTCGAGTTTAATTTTCAATTATTTAATTGTTTGTTTCGGCTCCGGGCTTTGTCTCGCCTCTTGGGTAACGTGAGAAAATTAATTTCTGCCAGTGGGTCTGCTGCCCCAATAGTCGGAAAACACAGCCGAAAGGTTAACGACAGTCCGACTTTTGGGGCTTTGAGAGTTGTGCCCACAGATGGCGCCACCGCTACCAGCGCCGTTTATGGCTAATTTTGCTGGCAAGGCAATCAACGTCCTTCGGCTGGTTGGTTGGTTGGTGTCCTGGCTAACCTTACCGGCCGAGGCGAGAAATCCTAATTATTCAAAGTTTTCACTGGAAAAGCCCTAATGGCCAATTCCAAGTAATTAATTAACACAAATGGGTATTATTTTATAGAGTTCTTTCGGAGTCTGATTTTGGCTCATAAACCCTATAATATAATGCCCCTGATTCTTCACAAATTACCGTCGCTAATCCCGTCCTATATACACACGATGGTGATGATAATGGTGCGGATTAACCCGCCTCATCTTCGTCCCCCTCTCAATAGGATTATCTGCACTAATTTTAGGGACCGCCTCGCTCACCCAAAACTTCTCCATCATCGTTCGGGAGGTGCCAAAAGTGATTTATCATCCGAGAACACTCGACGAAGCGTCCGTTCCACATACACAGCTCGGTAAGACCCATAGTTCTGTCCATATAGCGCTACCGAAGTGGCCAGAGTGCTGAGTGCCGAGGAGTGTGCTCGACAATGACGACGAACCAATTTATGGGACAGACACTCGAGCGACCGAAAGGCAAACACTACAGTGGGCCGGCCGTCCAGGAGGAGGACTGCCTCCGTTAGTTGGCCGACCGGAGGAGGGATTAGGGGTGGCTACTGTGGTATGGTGTGGTATGTGGTGGTTGCAGCCGTAAATTAGAAAATAAGCGAACAAAAAAATCCAAAGCCAAAACAAATTAGTAACTGTTGGAATAAAAAAAAAAATGAACCAAAGTAGTAATAATCGAAATAAGGGTGCAAGGGTGTGAATCCAAAATGGCCGCAACTACTACTGTTGCAGCTCTTGAATTTCAATCGAAGTGTAACAGAAGAAGTACCCGGGGCCCCAGTAGCTTCCACAAGAGGGCACAGCTCCGTCAGTGTTAGGGCTCTGGCGACAGACCGCTAATGATGATGGAAGGTCCCGCGTCTCGTTTATGGGTTAATCAAATTGTATGAGCGGGACTTCAGTTATGCAAAGCAGGCAAGCTGGCTGGCTGGCGGACAGGGGAGTGCCGAGTTGGAAAAAAGAATGGGTGTGGACATGGGAAGTGGAAGCACTGGTACAAGGGGGCAGCTGAACAGGGACGTAGACGCGGGAATGACTTCAATTAGACGCTCGGTGTTTGATGTTCTCGGATGGTGGCGGGTGCTTGGCAGCCAACCAAAAAAGGGGCGCACTGCCGCGCAAAAATGGGAGTACATCATCAGTATTATAATATTCGGAATAAAAAAAAAAAAAGCGAGGAGGAACAACACAAGCCCACTGAGAAAACATGGCAGCCCGGTAGCCCGACATCCCAGCAGCCCGGCAGGCGGTAATAATGGGAAGGGGCAGCCACTTTCAATTGTGGCAAATTGCAGGCGTTTCCGGTGCTGCCATCATTACTTATTATTCTCCCTCTCTCAGTCTGTCTCTTTCTGTGGCATATGCCCCATCTCATTCACCGATTGTGTTGTACTACGGTGGCATTTTTTTTTTATTTTTGTTAATTTTCAAATCAGAGCCGCGTGCAAGAAAAAGCCCAAAAGCGGAGCAACATGACGCAAATCTGATTATTTTTTTTGTTAGCCTTCACGCTGTGACCCGTGGACTTGGCAAGAGTTTCCAAATGTCCTTTGTCCTGCAGGGCGGGTGGCCAGCTGCTAATGAGCCATTCAAGGGGCCATTTGCATACCCGAGAGTCGAGAGTCGGGGGGATGATCCTGGATGGAGGTATGGAGGTTTAAACTCTTCTGGTAGCTCCTGTACTTAAAGCCGGACTAACCTAGACTCAAGACTCAAGCTTCAAGTGCAGTCTTTGTCTGGAAAGTGCATATTCCGGGGGGGAGAGAGA